TAATATAGTGTATAATTTTTATAACGAAGAGTAATAGATTCTTTATAAGAAATAACCAAAAATAAATTTTAAATAATTTTTTTTTAATTTTAGCTTACATTGCTTGCATAAATTCTTCGTTACACCACTACACACATGCATATGTATGTAAACACACTTGTGCATAATTAATTAGTTACACGACATATTTTCAGTGGCCCTGCTGGTCGAAGTTTGGCCAGTTGGTCAGCGTTTTTGTATTATTTTATTTCCTCGTGGTTGCTGTTTTTGTTGTTGCTGTAATTATTGTTGAGGCAAATCTAACTATCGGCATTTGTTAATTGCTTTTAATTGGTATAAGGTCATTTGCACATATTAGTTAGTGGCACACGCCGAACGAGAAACGCACATACATGCATATACCTATGTATACACATGTGTACATATGTATGTAAAAATTTGGATATATACATAAATAAGTGCCTAGGCATATAATTTGGTAAATAATAACGCACCCGTGCATTTATATTTCTATGTATATGCTTTTGTGCGCCAATGTTTACCATATTGCAGAAGCAGATCACTAAATCGTTAGGCGATTATTAATGCTTTTGTATTTGTATTTGAGCTGTATGTACATATGTATGTCAGTTCGTAAGTAAATATGTTAAATGATGATTTATGGCCTCAATAATGTTAACCGGTTAGTAAAAGCAAGGCAGGGGACCCAGTACAGAGTTACTGTGGAACGTCTTAGTTTCAAGGTCAATCAAGGTCGTGTGACAGTGTTCGACTGACATAATTTTCGAACTTATCGTACTTAAAAATATACATACAAAATGTCTTTTTGTTATATTTACATTTAAAAATATTTTCTCAGTGGTCGTTTTGGACTAGTTTAGGGCTAGTTCATTTAAAAAATGTGATTTTTATAATTTTTACAACTTTAATTTTGATCAAAAATAAGTTAAATTCAATTCCTTCAAAAAAATACTGGGTGTAAAACTAGTCCATTATGAACTAGTTCGGTACTAGTCAATATGGTTCAATATGCTCATTTGCTGAATATTTTCCCGCAAAAACAGTTATTAGCATTACAGAAAACTAATCTCAAACTAGTTCTGTTTGGTCTAGTGTTAATATAATCGATTTTTAAAACTCTTATTGCTCTATTACTAGATGTTATATATTTTTAATATATTTATCTGCGTTGAAAAACCAAAATTCGCATTGGTTTCGGACTAGTCGTATTAGCAGTCATTCAAAGTCATACTTAATAATCTTCAATAGTAAATATACTATACATGTTAATATAGCGCGCTTCATTATTGTCTATTATTAGTAAAATTAATAAGTATTTACCTCAAATTTCGGCCAGCAATTTGTGGTAATTCAAACGAAATGAAAAGTGTAAGCGCGTGACATAAAGTGGGAATGGAGGAGAGTTTGCCTTGAATTATCGACGATTGTGCTTAAGGAAAGTGAAGTGCTTCTCAATAAACAATGAAATTATCATTGGCATGGTGTTATAATTGACGCATTAAATGCTTTTAAGATAACTACTAGATACTGTACACTGAGGAAGAGCCGACTAATAGCACATATATATATAACTTTGCGCACATAAATCGCTTGAGAAGTAACTGTAGGCTG